TTAATTCATCTGTTGTCCAATTTATTAACTCATTAGTTCCCTTTGCTTATAAGTCCATACTTAGTTCTCCATTAGTCGTGGTCTGTTCTCATTGACGTTACGTTGTGTTAAATACGTTGATTTTCCTATCTGTTTTCCTGAGCTTGTCATGAAAGACTGTTTTATTCATTCTCCTTCATCTTTGTGCTTTAAACACAACCAATCAGTGGCACAGACAGACTGAATGGAAATGCAAAATGAACTCTCTGACAGTAGGTGCTGCTTAGAAATATAAACAAAGCAGCAGTGCAACTTTCTGTTTCTGACACCCACTTGTCTTGGAGAAGAAAGCACATAAAAAACATTTACATGTTATCAAACATGTAAGCTTTTCAGATTTTTTTATTCAGTATACTCTTAGAAAAAAGGTTCAGTGGGGTTCTATATCATTTCATGCCAAAAAGGTTCTATATAAGGAGAAATGCTTTAAATTATTGTAAAAAAATGTCATGCTCAACAGGCTATTAAATTTTTTTGTTTACGAACTGTTTCATTAATACAATTTAATTAAAAAATTATTAAAACTAAATCCATAAAATGATCCCATGATGGGAACCCCTAGGTTCTATATATGAAGTGCCTGACAGAACCCTTTAAGGTTCTATATAGAACCCTTTCTACTAAGAGTGCATATATTTAATACTTAAAATGCATTTCCCCCCTCAAATATTTTTTGACACATTGTTACACATTTGACATTTTAATCTGGATTAAAACCTGGCATCCTAGAAAAGATTGAACCAAAACAACTGGTTTGAAAATGCTTTTATTTTTGTTCTTTATATGTTCGTTTGCACATCTAAATTTTTCTGTTAGAGGACAACACTGAAGTTTGTTTATCTTTTCAACCTGGTAATGCAATTCAATACCATAATTTGGTAATTGGTACCGTCACATGCCTACAATAAACTTATTGTTCATCTTTTTTCCCCATTCCTTGTGTCCGTTTAATCTTCTTTACACAGTCTCTGCTGTAGCCAAGACAATGCTAAGGTAGTTTGCGTAGGATGTTTGCATTCATGAGTGAAGATTGGTGTATTTATGCACTCCATAATTATTTAGTCTTAATTGGTTCCTGTTCTTTCAGATGTTATTTGGGCGTTAAAGAGGGTACGAATGCATCGAGTCCTCCCTAAGGCCAGCGAAAAGGAGGGGAGACAGCTTCCTGGATTAACTCTGTGTGTCGAGATCTGACAGCTTAGTCGCGACTGCTTCCTCGGAAAAGAGAGTGCTTGATAAGAAACTTGAAAAAGAGGATATCGTCATCATCAATATGATTCATTTAGTCAAGTCATATCCCTTAATACCCCTACCAGGGTTTCCAAGATTCTACTCCTGCATTATACATGTACGTCTTTATCATTTGTCTTCAGTGAAGTGCATTGAACAATCCCTCCTGTCAGATTTTCCTGGATGTGAAATAGACACATTCTGTTTATTAGCAGCACAATTTGCTGCTCCAGCTCTCTTTCTGCCATCATTCTAGACATTTACAGGCAAATAACTGTGATAAAATAACACAGCATCCTTTAAAATCTAACTTTTAATTAATAGATACAGCAATATATCACATTTACTTATTATGAACGTCCGCAGCTAATATTATGAGAAACCAAGCTTTCATATTACCTCTCTTCACTTTATAGATGCAATAAAGGTGATGGAAAACAATTTACAAATGGAAAAACGACTGATATTGGAGGCACCCTCTCTGTGCTGTGAACATTAAATTATAAATAGTTTTTATTATGGCAGCACTTGGACACAGCTCTATATTATCTGTGTGCATATAATAAACACCAAAGATCTGTTACCATGGCAATGACTGGGAACAACAATCCCATTAGTGGGATCGATAAAAGGCCAAATGGAAAAAAAAAAATGGAAAAAAAGGATAAAAGAGAAAATGAGGGAGAGAAATAACTGCAATAATATGGGTAAAACCTCTGATTACATTTTCGGGACGCTGCTATACTGAACAGTGAACATTAGCCTGTGTTAAGCCTTTAGCCTAAGGTAGTGGAGGTTATTTATAAAATATAATATAATATAAATTTAAAATAAAAAACACTTAAAAACATTATTACATTTGAATGAGGAGCAGAAGCAGGCAGGTCTGTCAGATGAAAAGGGGCTCGGGGAGCAGTAAACAGATCCGCTGATAGGGCGTAACACTAAACGTATATCCCTAAACATCTGCAAGTTTTGCAGCATGGCTCATGGCAAAGCACCCTCAGATTTACAGCTAAAGATGGGAATTGTCACATGTTTCTGCTTCTGATCTGGGTTCCCTAATGGTCATACAGTACTGATACTTTAAGCACATTTAAGAAATAAATATTTGAAAAGAAAGAAAGAAACGCAGTTCCACAGCCAAACGGTAAGGTGATATCAATAATAAATACATTTGAAAACAATTAATTCTAAATTTTTGTTTATACAGACTTATTTAAAAGACAATTATTTAATTGCACTATAGGATAAAGACAAAATTTTAACTGAATTAAGCTGAGTAATGCCTTCTGTTGATCCGCTTATAGCTGAAATGAACTTGTTTCCTAATTGAAGAACTTTGCAAAATTGACAGTTACTGTACTGAACTGAAACAACACTGAACTAAATTGAGCTGAAAAATGACACTATTATCTTCCGTAGAGCTGCTTTACAGCTTAAATTGAATGTTACATAAATGCTACATTTTACAACATTAACAGTTGTTTTCTTGTTTTATTAAAGTGAAGCTGCTTTGAAACAATCTGTATTGTATAAATGTACAATTTTTTGTATAAATAAATGTGACTTGACTTATTAATGATTTTTAGGGCAACCATAGTTGCAATACAATAATCGACCATAACAATTTACTCAGAACAATACTAAACAAACAAACAATGCGGTAACACATCATTCTTTTATTTTTATAAAATACTATCGAAAAATCTCATTATGTGTGTTAGCTACACATTGTCATATGAACTACTAGTCAATAACTCACATTTAAACCTCACAGACAGTCTTAACCTGTATGCATTTGATTCACTAATAAACAGTGTTGAGGTAACGCATTACAAGTAACATGAGTTACGTAATCAGATTACTTTTTTCAAGTAACTTGTAAAGTAAGCATTACTTTTAAAGAAAATATCTGAGTTACCTTTTCAAATAAATAATACACGTTACTCCCATGTATTGACTGACCACTCTCCTGTCCCCATGCTGAGAGTAAAGCGCAGAGCCGTTGTGTGCGCTGTGTAAACATTATGTTATTGTAGACCTAGACAAAATGTAAGCATACCTTTACTCATTTCACTTGCACAAAACCAGATTCAGTATTGTGTGAAATGTGAAATGCAAACTCAGAATATTACGCAAACCTGCAATAATTAATATGTTAGATATACTTTATGTATTTAATCTCACTTTATTAACCAATACTTTATGTATTTAATATCCCTTTATTAACCAATATCTTTGCTGCTGACCTTTGATGATCCAATCCAATACTATTAAGCAAAAATGACTTTAGATAGACACCACAGTTGTGTTTAATTTTTGGTTTTCATTGCACCCTCTACTGTACAGGTGTGAATTTGCATTTCCCTCAGCCTGAGACTTATTCAGTTTACTTTTGGTGTGAAAGGGCCTTTACATTTGAAAAACAAACAAGCAAGCCCATGCAGCCCAGATGAGAAAAAGTAATGCAAAAGTTATGTAATGCATAAAAAGTAACTAGTAACTTTTTTAGGGAGTAACACAATATTGGGTAACACTTTAATTTAGGGTCCAATTCTCACTATTAATTAGTTGCTAATTAAGTATGGTAGTTGTTAAGTTTAGGTATTGGGTAGGGTTAAGGAATAAGGTCATGCAGAATAAGCCAAATATGTGCTTTATAAGTACTAATAAACAGCCAATATAATAGTAATATGCATGTTAATAAGCAACTAGTTAATAGTGAAAATTGGACCCTTAAATAAAGTGTCAGAATAATTTATTCGGGAATCTAACAACATTGGTTGTAAATGTCTTTGATTCGCTCAAAAAAAGAGTTATGCATTCAGAAATTGGACTACACAGGCTAAGCTGCATGTTTTTGATTTATAAATAAATAGCTTATCAGAGACGTTCTTCGTTTTACTGTAGATTCAGTAGCAGTGCCATTACACAATTATTGCAGGAGCACTTAGGGGTCATGCACATGTTTTTGCATTCCACTCATCACTGCTTTTCCTTTGCTACCCTTCGTAACATTGAATGGACGCTTAGTCAAGTGTATTTTAGTGCGGTGCGGTTCTGGCACTATTTAAAAAATTGGAACTGGTTATAAACCTTACAGTCCTTGCCTTGAGGAATTCTGCACTAAGCAGCTTTAAACCATTGAACAGTTCAGACCATATCAAAATTAATGACAGACTCTTTTATTTGCAGCACCACAAACAGCATGCGTTTCAAACATTATTCGTTCCAAGCAAAGCCACTCATCTTTGAACAAGCTGGACGCATCAAACTCTTCAGGTTAAGTCATTAAGTCATTCCAACGAGGCGGATCAGCGTTCTAATTATACTCTTGAAATGTTGGCTTTTCAAACTGCTATCGCATGTGCCAAGATGTCCAAAATAGACCACATCGTTCAGCATGACTCCTCCTTTCATCTCACATCACTGGAGTAATTTGCGCTCTGTATTTGAGTGATTTTCAGCATACATTCAGCCAATCCAGTGCACAAAGTCACCACAGTCTTTGTCTTCTTTGCATATGCACATGAATTAGTCATTATGCACATTGTTATGTACATGTACTTTAAAAAGGGTGGTAGCTTCTCTGACCAACAAAATAAAAAATAAATAAAAAAAATCGTCGTTGTCAGTGAAGAAATGGTAAAGATGGAAAACCACTTTAATCTGACACACGTACACACATACACACACACAGACAGAGAGAGAGAGAGAGAGAGACTCACCTGCAGTGTCTGTGTACACCTGCCACTGTTTCGATGATGAAGCACTCTCCCTCATTCAAACAGAAGGCCATCTCCTGACTGTCTTGGCATGGCTTGAAGAACTCGGAACGTACGGTGGATGTTGTTGGGGCAACTGCGTGCGAAAGAGACACAGGGAGGGTGCAAGAAAGATGAGGGGGGACAGAAAGAGATTAATCAAGATTAAATAAGTTTAATCAAATGAATCAAACACTAATAATCCATCCATTTCCATAATGTCCATTCCAGTGATAAAATTACATCTGAATGAGTTCTCAATATTATGACATGAATGGTGTTAATTGAATCACACGTTCAAGTACGATGGTTTCATAATCACTTCACTGATTACAAATGAGCCCATGTAAAGACTAGAAAATGTTCTAGAATCTATTATAGAGCTTATATGGGGTATAAGGGTTTTATGACAGGCCATCAGAGATAATAAACCGCATGTAAGCTACAACAGAGATTTTTCTAATGTTTTCATGCCAAATATATATAAACTAGGCAGCTAGACCTTTTTTATTGGTGTGGAATATAAATATATTATTAACTATTAAATATTATAAATATGTATAAAAAATGCTCAAGAAATATTTAAATAACATTTTAAAATACATTCATTTAACATAGATACTGTTAAATGTATTAACCTAAAGAAAATAGTGGCTGTTCTTTAATAATTCTAAAATTAATGATAACAAAATGATTTATAATAATAAATGGTCTTAATTATGATTAAGAATAAAAAAATTAAACAAGGCAATGATCAAACAAGCTCAATCAATGTCCAGTCTCTCTCTTATATGTAGCTTTGAGATTTAATTGATCATTTTAGAGAAACAGTTCTTTCTGGGGGGGGGGGTTGGGGGGGACAAATCATACATATGTGACCCTGGATCACAAAACAGTCACAAGTAGCACGGGTATATTTGTGGCAATAGCCAACAATACATTGTACAGGTCAAAGTTATACATTTTTCTTTTATGCCAAAAATGTATAGGATATTAAGTAAAGATCATGTTCCATGAAGATATTTTGTAAATTTCCTACCGTAAATATATAAAACATTTAGCCTGGTTGACACCAGACCCTTCTCAGTCGTAACTGAGATAGGGTCTGGGGAAGGTTCATTCACAGCCCATTTCCAAAGGGGCGTCGCCAACGGACTTCGCTCAAATGTCTCTGGGCGCAATTGGATAGACCTAAAACCAATCAGAGCTATCGTCATCGTGTAAAGCCCGCCTCGACGTTTGTGATTGGTGCCTCGATTTGGAAAGATTGCAAATGGGCTTGAATGGGCTCTTGGCCAGACTAACTTGGAGAGCAAATCTAAATTTGCCGGAAGTTCGTCAGGGTTTTCCCAGGCTATAAAACATGTATTTTTGTGAGTGAATGCAGCACAATCATTAACATAAATTGACAAATTGAAAGGCGATTTTCTCAATGTTTAGTTTTTTTTGCATCCTCAGATTTCAGATTTTCAAATAGTTGCATCTCGGCCAAATATTGTCCTATCATAACAATCCATACATCAATGGAAAGCTTATGTATTCATTTTTCAGGTTATGTATAAATCTCAATTTTAAAAAAATGTATCCATGTGACTGGTTTTGTGGTCCAAACATATATGTTTGCCTGCTTTATCACAGAATGTTTGTAGCACTTAACACAACTGGACCCACAATGCATCGGCTCTTTAATATATTTAATTAGTGCAATTTATGAACAAAAAATAACCTCCTTAATTAAGAATGATGCTAATGAATCAGCATGCTGGTCAAAGCTAAATAGCCTGCATTAGCACCTTCCTGTTGTTCTCTACAAACTGCAGAGATGATTCACATAAACAGTTCATCTCAGGAAGGACTGCTGCTTATAAAAGATCGCCTCCACCTTTTAATCTGGACCAGAACAGGGCACGTCCAATGAATCTGGTTCCTCTGACCCTTATTTGCTTGCCTGACTTCAACATGTACATCAACATCTGCTGTGTTGTTAGCAGTTACTCTGAATACAAAATTAGGGCCTGCGGCACCTGGTACATGTTTACACAGTCATACCGCCACCAACCATGTCCATAAGCAGAAAACAATGCACTGAAAGCATGCACACATGAACACACATAATCTCCCAGACATCTGCCACGGAATGAAATAAAGCAGAGACATTCATAAGCACTGCAAAGATGCCTCTGCCCACTCGAAAGCTACATCTGTAGTCTGCAGCTGCCAGCAGAGGAGGCAGTCTCAGTGCAAGCATGCGTCCTGTTTAAAAACAAGGCAATCCAAACAGCACCAGACACCTGCAGTCACACAGGAAAGGTCAGATCAATCTGTTGTTCTCGCGTCTTGATGGATAAATCTCGGGTCACTGGTGCAGAAGACGATGAAGGATTAGAAAATTGTTGAAACAAGAAAAAGAGATCAAAGAGGCTTCGTTCATTTGAGAAAGCTGCGATGGATGACTCCATTACGCACGGTAGCCAAAAGCGACTGCTTTGCACCATAAACAATACAATAACAGCGCCAAATGCCTTATCCTAGCCCTCAGACAGCATCCGACTGGATTTTTCATATCCTCTTGTTCAAGTGTCCATAGAAACGGTTGGGTTTTATGACTCGGTATAAATCATCTCAGAAGCATTGATCAAACGACCATTGATCTGCACATTTTGTTGTTAAAACGGAGGATTCTGTTGGGTAGATTATTAGTCTCATTTTTCTCCAGAGTGGCGTTTCAAACCTGACTGGTATACTGCTGCTGACTGGCTAGTCGATCAGCAATCAGCAGTGTTTACTGTGTGACCCAGGGCTACTTATGGACTGATCTCTCGCCACCACAGCTCTAATATAGGTGCTCATAAAACCTGCCATATTGAGCCCATCCGCAGGCAAGGACTGCCAGAACATGCAATAATCATTGCACAGGACTATATTAAAAGAGGGGGGAAAATCCAGTATAATAAATACATGATCTTTCAAGGGGTTTGGTGAAAGTGCTCAGCGAATTAATGAACATCGCAATCGATGCTCTGGGATTCAAAAGAGCTATTTGCAATTAGCTTCATTTTAGGAGTGATCATTGACAAGTTTATTAAATCAAAGGTGCCGAACGCCTGCAGGGACAGAACTGAGGCATAGCACCCACAATGCCTGCTTTATTCTTTTGCTTTCTATTGATAGGTTATTGAAACAGAACGGAAACTGGGAGCATGTGGGCGACGACCCTCACCACCCAGCCTAATTAAGTCTGCAGGGAGGTAATGATTTCCTCAACCCGCAACAGGCTTTGCTGTAAAGACAAACTTTAACAGATATAATAGAAAGAACTTTATAAAGATGACTATGCAGATCTCATCAAATCTCAAGTTGGCAGTCACCAGTTAAGGCCATCAGAGAACAAAAATGACTGCATTCACACCGTGCACCTGGGACTCGAGAGCGCTCTCTGCACATCAGACACTGCGCTTTCATGGGCGGCCAGCTCATGCATGACATGATAATTGCTCAGCTTCTGGTTATTTAGTCATAAATCCTCCCCTCTTGTTATTCCCAAAATGGTTTGTCATAACATTTGATTCATCCTGGTTGCTTTAAAATTACCATTTTTTTCCGGAAGGCAATCTACACAAGTAAGTCCCTTGATAAGTTCCATGAAAACAGTCTTACCACTGTTCAAAATTGAATCAGAAATCCCAGTGGGTTATTCATCTGAATATGTGATGAGCGATTGGACAAAAAACAACGTCCATGCTTCATGCACACTGAAAAAGGCACATATCTATCTATACTGAACAAAATTATTAACGCAACACTTTTGTTTTTGCCCCATTTTTTATGAGCTGAACTCAAAGATCTAAGACTATTTCTATGTACACAAAAGGCATATTTCTCTCAAATATTGTTCACAAATCTGTCTAAATCTGTGTTAGTGAGCACTTCTCCTTAAAGGATTAGTTCACTTTTAAAAAAACTTTTGCTGATAATTTACTCACCCCCATGTCATCCAAGATGTCCATGTCTTTCTTTCTTCAGTCGAAAATAAATTAATGTTTTTGATGAAAACATTCCAGGATTTTTCTCCATATAATGGACTTCAATGGTAGCCAAACGGTTCAAGGTCTAAATGACCGTTTCAGTGCAGCTTCAAAGGGCTTTAAACGATACCAGACGATGAATAAGGGTCTTATCTAGCGAAACGATCGGTCTTTTTCAAAAATAAATAAAAAAGTTAAAGTGTTATAGGCACAAATGCTCGCCTTGCGAACTCTCCTGTTCGAACTCGTTCATCAAAATGAACAAATCTTTTTTCGAGTCAATGACTCGAAAAAAGATTAGTTAATTTTGAAGAACGAGTCAATGACTCGAAAAAAGATTCGTTCATTTTGATGAACGAGTTCGAACAGGAGAGTTCGCAAGGCGAGCATTTGTGCCTATAACAATTTAACTTTTTTATTTATTTTTGAAATGACCGATCGTTTCGCTAGATAAGACCCTTATTCATCGTCTGGTATCGTTTAAAGCCCTTTGAAGCTGAACTGAAACGGTCATTTAGACCTTGAACCGTTTGGCTACCATTGAAGTCCATTATATGGAGAAAAATCCTGGAATGTTTTCATCAAAAACATTCATTTCTTTTCGACTGAAGAAAGAAAGACATGGACATCTTGGATGACATGGGGGTGAGTAAATTATCAGCAAAAGTTTTTTAAAAAGTGAACTAATCCTTTAAGATGCAGAGATAATCCATCCACCTCACAGGTGTGGCATATCAAGATGCTGATTAGACAGCATGATTACTGCACAGGTGTGCCTCATGGCCACAATAAAAGGCCACTCTAAAATGTGCAGTTTTATCACACAGTACAATGCCACAGATGTTGCAAGTTTTGAGGGAGCGTGCAATTGGCATGCTGACTGCAGTAATGTCCACCAGAGCTGTTGCCTGTGAATTGAATGTTCATTTCTCTAACATAAGCCGTCTCCAAAGGTGTTTCAGAGAATTTGGCAGTAGATCCAACAGGCCTCACAACCACAGATCACGTGTAACCACACCAGCCCAGGACCTTCACATCCAGCATCTTCACCTCCAAGATCGTCTGAGACCAG